TCATACAGAGCAAGATGAAATTCAGCAAGAATCAAATTGAGATGTTTACCGACATTACCAAGTCGATCATTATCGAAACCATCCGGCTGGCGTTGAGGGACGGCATGTCATTTCGCATACCGGGCATGATCACCGTTCGAAGCATGACCCCAAGACTGATCGGTAACTCCCTGGTCGTCGGTCTAATGACCGAAATGAACCGTGCGAAGATCGGTGCGATGGTGGTAGACAACATACGAAAACTAACTCAGTACTTCTAAGTCTGCTTGCTACCGATGGTTTGTTTACTTTTGGTTGTTGATTGTCTTATGATTAGTAATTAATTCGCGGTTGTGCATATGCGTTCATACATGTAAAAGTGACTCGGTTGATATGCAAAATGATAAAAGCGTTTCGAAAGCAATGCAACAAAGATTCTTCAATGGACCACGCAGTTGTGCGTTCTTGAATGTAGTTCCATGAAAGAAGTGCCAACAGCTTTATTTGAGCAGAGACAAAATACGACTAATGACAAAGGAATGCGTACTTAAGAAAGTACCTTCGAAAAACTCACCGGTTTGAATGGTGAACCTAATTTCATGGTAGATGTTTTTCCAATCGGTTGTGATATACCTCTATAAGTAATTATTGTGGTTTGATACAACTTCTTCTGCACTATCTTCTTTGTCCTAACCCGCGGTTCAAGGCAGCATTCTGGAATCCATTCACTAACGATCTCCAATTTACCAACGCGTTTCGAAGCTGCACCCAGCGACATGATTAGGTTGCAATGTAGTAACTGTGGTGTGCGCCGCGAACGCATCGGTGAACAACCGATTTTACGTCATCAAGTGAACTGTGCTTTCAACCATGGATGAAAGAACTAAGGCATATGACTATTTTTCAAACAGGAAACAAATCGATATCTCCCTCCGTAGTTCTATTCTTGGCATTAGTTATAATCCTTGACAATTCCATTTACAATCGTTTTCGCTGCCACCAGAATCGGCTTATCCGGCAGCAAAGAATCTGCGCTTTTGACGCCACACGCTCGAGTGCCAGAAATCTCCTATAAACATTTCGTCTCCCGCCTTCATAATACGTACGCCATCGTCCCAAGATCTTCATTACGTAGGTTAATTCTCACTATGTCCAGCCGGCCTCTTGATTTGACCCCCCTCCGCACGCCCACCACCTCCAACGCTGTCACCATGCAACGGTGTGCAATGTTTCAGATGCAAACCGTTCAAGTGGTCACAGAACATAACTGAATCACGGACATGCCAAAGCTAACTCAGCCGGTGTTTTGGGGGATGTCTGAGACTCTGACAACACGGCAGCTACCGCAGACCTGCCAGTTTGACATTTTAACAAGGAAAGTCCCCAGTGATGAAATGTTTTTAAATTTTTTGTCTTCCATTCAGACTAACTTTCACCAGCATTCAGTGAAACCGAACTCATCGCTCCTTGCAGGGCGTGCTCTTTCGTTCTGGTTAACAGAATTATCCTCGGTAGGACGCAATCAATCCGTATCACATGCCCAAAGAAACCAAATCAAATGCAGCTGTAAGGTCCTCAAAACAAGCGGCAGTTGGCTGTTGATAACGAATCCGGGTAACCGATTTGGCGAAGTTAAAATTACGTCCAGGGCCAGCTACGAATGCGTTCATCCACAGAAAAGGCTATAGTCAGTATTTACAGACTTATAGCTTTTAACAATAATTGGGATCGAACGGCTGAGTGGAGGGATGGACATTTTTAAACAAATGCCGGATAAGTCTGAATATAAGCCTGTGAGCGTTTCATCCATCGGATATCTTAGATGCAATATTTTAGGAGCTTGGAACCCCGAAAGTGATTTTATGCCCATTTAGCTCGTGGTCTTTAACCTTATGAGCAAGACCAGATTTACTGTGATTTACCAGCACGCAGCTGATGTAGTCCGTGCCGCAATTTCCATGGTACTTTGCGGAATTTTCATGACTTCATTTCTGATGCTCAAGTGGCAGTCCAACACACCCTAAACCGCACCATTCGGCAACAGCTCTGAGTAGATCGCTTTTATGGCTTCCTTCTTGTTTTCACCTCATCACTGGGATCTGTTCAAAA